CGCCCTATCACAACTTCACACTTGTTTACATTCCACTCGTCAAAATGTGTGCCCTTTTGTGGCAAATCTAATGAAAAACCTGCTATTCACCCCGACCCCTCTCTTTTGATCGGCTGATCCGACTCTGGCCTCTAATCCGGATCCCCTCATTGTCTCGTAGATCCATTCCTTATCTTTCTGGTTGACCGCTTTCACTCGGTTCCAGTCCCTGTGTGCATTTCACTCCAGATGCTATTTCTCAAGGGCCTAGAAGCACGTACACTGCCGCTTCACTGAGCAGAGCGCCTAAGCTCTGATTCCCATGCTTGGAGATAAAAGGCCTTCTCTTCACGGTTCCTCTCCTTGATTAAACCCATGTCATCTGAGCAAACTGTGGACGCATGCGGCATCTCAAGTGGATTTCTGGTACATTTTGACCATAACGTCGAATTTCCGTGACGGTTTGCTTATCCGTCTGCCCAGCTCCCTGATTTCCACGCCCCCAAAGTTGTACTGGTTTATTCGAAACGAACATCACTCACTGACAACGTATTCGCTTGATTTCCGAAAAGCCCCGCCCATCACTTTCCTCATCGCGATCCCTTTTCCTCCGGTTAGCGATAGATCACTGATCCAGGCGTGTCCTTTTTGCTGGTCTTGCTCCATTCTTGTTTTCCTCGAGTTTGCCTGAGCAATAGGCAAAGTTATCGCTAACTTTACCTTCCTCCAATCTCCTGTTCATTAGATTTTTCTCCCTAAACACGTCTAAGTCCTCCCTAATCTTCCACTTTCTTGTGTTGTCACCGTATGGGGCCCTTCTTTCTGTTGCCTTCGAATCGAAAAACGACTGCGACCACACCAGAGGCCACAATATCTTGGTCTTCATATCTTCAATTCGCCTTGTTTCTCGTGCTTTGATGCAATGTGATTAAGGTGGCATTCGCCTGCTTTTAGGAGGTGGCACATGCTGGACTCGAGTTCCGTTCTTGGGAAGGTGATCTGACCAGACCGAGATCAAACATGCAATCCGATCGGGACGAGAGTGCTTTGTTAGAATGCATAGTACAGTTGGATTCGACTTCAGGCCACTGGCGCTTCTTCATTCTTGACTAAACTGAGTTGGATGCGGCAGTTGAGAAGGGATTCATCGTGTGACCTATTTCCATTGTCCGAGTGCTCGTGTGCACTATTGCGAAGTGTAAGGCCTCAGCTGCAATCTCTCCCAGCATCGCACTGCCAACTGAGTCCCCAAAAACGGATTCTCTCGATGCCTCGATGCCTCGATGCCACTTTTGATGAGTGACAATGGGTCATTTCCTGGTGTGACCCTCACTGGTGGGTGTATCATCTCCACAAACTTACGGAGATCAGGGTGTTTTGTAAGTCAAATCGTACTGCAACCCTAGATGGCGTGAGCGGACTGCATTTCACCAGCGATGAGCATACCGCTTGGCCGGACTTCCCAATTGCTGGTATGTTGTTTACGGCAATTTCACCCGACCCCACCCGTCCTGACCCGACCCGACCCGACCCGACCCGACTCGACCCAATCCGTCCTGAAGCACGAGCACGACGCAAAGCAGACCCTGGGAAAGAGAGAGCGGGAAAGAGCCAATTGGCCCGTGCCCATTCAGGCCGAAGCAACTCAGCCACTTCATGTCATTCCGTTTACCATCCTCAATGTTGCCAACTTTTTTTTCGTCCTTCCTCTGACAATATTCTCAAGCCTCCACCCCTCCTTTTCTCATTAAGTCGCCCCAGTTACCGGGCAAATTTGATACCCCCTCTCCCTCACCTGGTGCTGGTTGGATTGCTTGTTTGCCCGCATTCTTAGTCCACTTCAGCTGCCCATCCCAGCACCAAACGTCCTCCTCTTTACGCTCCTACTGCCAGTATGTTCACACAACTAATAGTAAACAGATTCCCCTCTCCCTCGCCCTGTTCCTCTTGCTCCCAAGTCCTGTGGATATGGCCTCAAAGGTTGACTTCCTCACGAGTCACCGTAACCGAGGCATTGCGACTGCCCGCCACGGTTGCAAGGTTCAGCATTACTTTGTCTCGTAGTATCGCCAGGCCTAATGAGAACCAGACAGCCTGTAAAGTGTAAATATGTTGCCGATGAGGTAGTGCAGGTTGGCTCTTTCTTAATTGCCCTAATTCACTGTTACTGCCGGCAAGAAGAGGGCTCACATGTTGGCTAATGCGAGATGTGGATTAAATTTGATGTCTCTAAGCGCTGCCAATTGGTCTGTCCACTTGCACTTGTTTGTCGTTCAGTTCGTTTAACGAGGTGGCCAGAAAGGATTTACAACTTGGCGACATCGGAAGCCGAAGAACGGTTGTTGAATTCACGTCAATTTTGGAGAATATTGTCTAATCGAAAGGTTATAAGGTTAATTCTTCCAGATGACGACGATGGACTCCTCTTTGTAAGCTGTCAGTCGACTTTACTGAAGCATTCTTGTCGACGCTGCCCTAAGTCAACGGTTCAATCTGTCATTTGACGGGCATCATCAGAACATTGTTACATTCTTACAGCTTATTCAAGCTAAATAGCCACAAAATCTAGCCGGTTTTTCCCTAAATCCTGTTTTCATACCCTAAATCTGTGCATTTTGATGTAGTATAAAGTGATTTGATTAGTTCATTTTATATGTCAATCTAGAAACATGTCTACTTGTGTACGTTTGTGTGCCTTCATGCATACGCATATGGACAAATTAGAACAGAACATAACTACTTTTATAGGTTGGCTAGGTTTAATGACCACCACTTCCCCTTTTCTTTATATTTTAAGTATCAATACGATTGCGTAAAATCGTATGCACGTTTGGTTATGTCGATGAACTTACTCGATGAGAAAGAAAGAGTGAATTAATAATTATTAAAAGTGTGATCCTTATCAGAATAATTACTATCAGAAGACCAGTTGAGTAACCTCCTTCTAGATAAACTAACCATTCAAAGTGCACATATTTAGGATTAGCTTTCTTTACTCATTAGCTTAGATGAGACCGTAAGAGGTATATCCTAGACTGGTGATATCTGTCATATGACGGACAATAGCCCGTCACGTTTTCATTGAAATCGGAGATGATTAACAGACGTAAACCATGCGGACAAGGAAATCGGAAGATAGAGGCATATATTGTGTCATGGCAATTACCCATTAAGATAAATAGATAATTACATTTTTAAGACTCGATCACAGAATGAACAGAGATAGCTATTTAAGGTGAGATAGACAGATAAACCATTCTACTTGGTTCCTGATTTTGCATTCCCGTCAACTTACGAAAAAGTTGGGTGACTAAAATGGGACATCAGAACAACGTATAAAGAAAATTCAACACTTTCTTCATCGTACCTTCTATTCGAGAATTTTTGGACCCTCTTTCTAAATCACGCTGCCACAGGGTTTTGTGCTGATGTGGTAATGCCTATGCGGGGGAGACTTGCTGACCCATTCAAAAAAGACTATGCGAGCACAAAACCGCTTGTAAAGATATACTATTCCCAAAATCGGAGCCTGATGAACATATAGTTAATATAGGCACTTGATAGACTGGTTGAAAACACAAGGCTCTTCTGGTTACGAGGAATTCACATCACAAGCGTGAGATTAGGGAGTCTATAGAAATAAACAAAACACCAAAATTCTTGAATAGGAGGAACGGGTGTAGAAAATTGAACGATATGAACATTACATACTCACAAAAGACCATAGCACAAACCCAAACATGAGTCAACCTTAGAGGATCGTAGAATAGTTTATTTGTGCAAGCAGACAGCTACCGCCATCATCTGTCCTCATCTGGTGAGATCGAACAATGAATCTCTTCTTCATGCATTTTCATACGAACAATGTTATCTCAGGAGATTCATCAAAACCCAGTTACTCTTCATAACTACATTGTAGCTACCGTTCGACTTCTTGTCAATTGCCTTCTCGCTACACTATAGCCAAGAAAACTATATCCTGGCAAGGTAATAGAATTAGATTTATAAAAGTTTGTATTTTTCATAATGTTGTTATTAGGTGTTGTTTTCTCGGTAGGCGTTTTAATCTACCAACGGCGACCAATAGGGAAATTGATCAGATATCGTGTGGTTTGGTTAAAACTAGACTCATGGAAGGCATAAACAGATTACACGAACTAATTATAACCAAAAATAGGATTAGGTAATCTCTTTCTGAAATAGTGAGTGATGTGGATTTCCTTAAGTTACAAGATATGGCTGATTGGTTAGGAGAGGCCACTGATAGAATTACCCGGTGGATACATGATAAAAAGCTCCGGAACCTAGAAATTAGTATAAGGTCGATAAATTTTGCGCGCAACTTGAGTCGTAGTAACCATGTATATAGCAAACTTGGGAAGGATAAGGTAACCAATTTATCCAGTATAAATTGACATTTTATTGAAAAGATATATGAATTTTGCTCTTCCAAATTGGAAAAACCATTCTCTGGAAATACTTGTTGAATTAATTAGCCTTTCTGATAGTATTTAACTGGAAGTGATCCCTCCTTTTGACCATATAGTACCGCCAAAGAAAGATTGTCATCTTAGTAGGGCTTCTAGATATCTCAGCGGTAGTAATCTAATTGTAATGAAAGCCGACAAATTTGGAGCAGGGGTAGTCATGAATAAGTCAAGTTATGTTGAAAAAATGGTAGTTTATTTAAATGACATTAAGACGTATAGGCCTTTAGTGAGAGATCCAACAGAAAGATTTAAGACTATGCCAAAGGACGACCTTAAGGTATGCGTAAGTAATTATGAAATGGAGAAATGGAAAATGAATTCACTATTCTAGAGAGATGCAGGGGCCTCCATGGCTTACAATCTCCCGAAGGTTCACAAGGAGGGTGTGTCTCTACGATTAATTGTAAAGCATAAAGGAAACGTGTTGCGGAGTTCTGGAAGACAGGACTTTTAGAAATGCTCTAAACCATTAGCCATAAGCAAGCATGTGAATTGAAGTTGTTTGACCTTGTTTTCGCAACTTGAGCATATTGGTAGGAAGACTAAGAGGAATGCACCTATTCCGGAGTCCATTGTATGCATCATCATTTACAAAGTCGGACCTTGGACATGGTACATTCCCAGGCGTTTAGCCGGCATCGTCAGTGAGTCTTGCCATTCTTAGCACCACATTATAACTCGTAAAAGAGACAACTGAAGCCGATCCTTTGACCAAATGTGTGCTAAACTGTTGTGGTATCTCTCCTCCTGTCCTGGGCTATTCACCTCTCCTATATCATCGTAGTATTACACAATAATTTACGTGTATCCTATTATACGGTTGTTTGCCTACAAATTGTATTTCTGGTGTGTGGTGGGGTTGTTTTTTAGCATGATTTAAACTAATTATAATCTTATAGTAGTATCATCAAAACAACTCAATCTTACACACGCAGATTTTATAGAAACGGAGGTTTTTGGACTTTCCTAATTGGAGATTTTCAGATTTAACTGGATAGTGTGCCCTTTTTTAGCGGCTGTCAGGGCATATACTGACCGAGAGAAATCTAATGAA